AGTATACAAAAAGAAGGCAACTACTTCCCTGTGCCTTTATTTTTTTTGAAAATACTAAGGCTCCATTCATGCCCTTCCATATTTGTCATCAACTTGTACTGTAATTTTTAAGGAGCCAGAAAGGAAATTGCTTAAATACAGAGATATATTTTTTAAATGACTCAAATTTAAGTTTTGCACTTTGCCAGTAACCTCATGTGAATTAAAGGCCCACCCGCCTCAGCCTGAAAAAGGGGGAATGCTCTGATAATACACGATTATTAGTAGCAGACTGAGATTTGACAGAAGGTCCTATAATTATAAGCTAATTATAAGGCTTTTATTTGTTCTTAAAGGAAAAGGTGGATCCAGAAATGACTGCGAAGAGACTTACTGCGGACCTTACCCCGAATCTGAACCAGAAGTAAAAGCCGTGGTTAATTTTCTCAGAAAGCGCAAGGATCGTATTAAAGCATACCTAACAATGCACTCTTACTCCCAGATGGTTCTGTTTCCATATTCATATACTAAAAATATATCTAAAGATCATGATGAGCTGGTAAGAACCCTTCTCTTTAAGTCTGAGCTCAAGAGGGCCTTTGCAATCGGTTTTTGGACTTGGATTTTTTCTTACTTAAAGGAGTACAAAGGCACTTCTTAAAAAAAAAAGTGGCTAAATGATGAGTGCCTGCTCATAATGTCAACAAGAAGTTGTAGCAGGCCATATTGTTGTTATAAAAGCAAGTAGCAATGCCACCTTAGCTTGGTTTCCATACTTCTTCCTCCTCCATGTCTTTCATTTGAATGCAGCAAGCCATTATTTACAAAATGGAATCAAACCATGGTCTGAAAATACATCATGCTTTCTATAAAATACTTTGCTACATTTCAGCTGAAATGGAAAATTGCTATAAGCTGCAACCAAAAGTTTCTAACTTCTTTCCCTGTGTGATCATTCTCATAACAAGCAACTTGTCTATTCCCACATGCCTTATTTTTGGCTTTCATGCACCGTATTTTTCGCACTATAAGACACTCCGGAATATTAGACGCACATTAGTTTTAGAGGAAGAAAACAAGGGGGAAAAAATCTGCCTCCGCCTCCCAGCATCCATCCGATATTCATCTGGCTAGCGTCCTTGCAGCAAACAGCCTGGTCAGCTTTAGCACGTTATTGCAGCCCCAGCACATGGCTCATCAGGGCACCGCTCCGTTGCGCCCACCACCAGTCTACTGATCTAAGCTGCTGCTGCCGGCGGAAGATACTGGAGCCTTCGCTGCCGAGCAGCTGATTGCCAGTTGGATTGGCCTCCCGGAATACCGCCGATCAGCTGTTCTAGGTGGCGGGGATCACCACAGCTGCTGCCTATCGCTGCCTGTTCGCCACCACCCATCAGCAGTGATCGGGCGATGGTGATAGGTGGTGAATGGGTGGCGATAGGCGGCAGCTACGGTCCCCACTGCCTAGAACAGCCAATCGGTGGTTTTCCGGGAGGCCGATCCAGCTGCCAATCAGCTGTTCGGCAGCGAAGACTCCAGTGTTCCGCGGCAGCGCACCAACCCCCTCCCCCCCACCACAATATTCAATCTGTAAGACGCGCAGACATTTCCACCCACTTTTTTGGGGGTGGGGTGGGGTGGAAGTGCATCTTATTGTGTGAAAAACATAGTATTTACTGAGAAAACAGACTTTTGGATCAGGATCCATGTATCCTCTGTATTTATCATTTTGAAGGATGCTTCAAATCTGCGAGGGATATAGAATATTCAGAACAGATGTATAAAAATACTCAGATTCTTGTAAGAGACAATTCATAGAGTGTTTGCACTTTTTCATATCTAACTACAGGGGAATTACATTGAAGGTTATAGTACAATAGCAGCTAGGCAACATGACATACATAGCACAGAAGCAAGTTTGTATGATGTATGCATGTTAATTAGGTCCAAGCAAGTAAACATATGTTGAGTATTTCTCCTAAGATGAATGTTTGTAAGCCAGGCTTTCTCCAAACTCCAAACCAGGGAATCTATCCCATTAGAATGAATCAAGAACTGAAATCATGGTTTGTTGGATGTTTGTGACCAATTACAACATATACTATAAGAGAAATAATGTATTAAAACAGATAACTATTTTTAATACATTATATTAAACTAGTATAATGCAGAAAGAAGTGAGTATGATATATTACTTTTTAATTAGTACAAATAATGAAAAAGAATTCAGGAATTAAAATGCCAAAAGCATTAAATTAAATACCCACATAAAAAGTTTTGGAACCAGAGAGAGTATTTATCTAAATAATTATTTATTTTTGTAAAGAAAAATGAATGATCAAATGGCCAACCCTTCAGACTGAGGATCGCTATAGTGAGCGATTAATTACTCTCAGCAATAATAGCATCTTTCAAGGATGTAGAACTTTGTTATTAGAGTCTACGCGCTGAGATGGTTTGGCTTTCCTGACAAAAGGATTTTGCTTGTCCTGTGCTCTTCAAGAGTTTTCACTGCGTAACTCAAAACTGTAAGATTGCTGCATTTAGAGCAGCGTATCTCAAATATTAAGGTGTTGATTTCAGCTCCCAGAATTCCCTGGCCAGCATTTTTGGGAGCTGAATCCATTTGTGGGAGTCGAAGCCCACACATCTTAAAAGCTTCCAAGTTTGAAATTGAAGTGCAATGTTTTCTCCATAGTTACTGGCGTTGGATAAGATAAAAGTGCTGCCCCCATGAGGACAATGTTCTTCTTTGGCTCTCCTCCTCCTGTAATCTCACAATCTGTTGCAGCTCAATTCTGGGAAACTCAAAAGCTTGTCAGTCAACAAGCATCTGTTCTATTACCAGACAAAAATACCTACATTTAAAATTAAATTTATTTCTACAGTCGCCTTTTATGCTTGCCTTTGCTAAATGAAAGTCAATGTTGCCCTACACATTTTAGATTCCCCCCTGTCTACACAAGAAAACAATGTCAGCCATAATATACCGGTAACAAAATGGATTTCAGACTACGAACCAAAGCAAACAAACACAGCAGAACTTGCGAAAAGGACACAAAAGAAAAGGGTAAAATCCAAAAGCGTGCGATCACTGGATAGAGGGAGATTAATAAAAAGCCATGGGCACACAACAGCCTAGTTTTTACATCATGGTAAACCACAGATAGGATTTTAATATCAAACATGCTAGGTCTGGGACCGACACCTCTTCTGCTTACTTGCAGCTTTAGCTTTTTTTATATTTCCTGTAAAAAATGTACATTTTTAAATTTCGTTACAATGTTGTGAAGAATTCAAACTCTCTGGGCCATCCTTGGGAAACTTAGTTTATAAAGGCAGCTCACGAACATCCAGAAAAAAGATTAAAGTCTTTTCTGGACAACTCTCTTTTTGCGATCGGACTTAAAATATACACTCTCCGTGACGGTTTAATTAACCAGATCTCTTCTTTTCAGCAACTGGTGGCAAACCAAGTGACGGGTGCTATTAGAAACGCCTACCACAACCGCTACGTGGCAGGCTCTGGTGCACAGACAATCTGTAAGTACAGAGAGAACAAAAAGTACCTCTGTTTATCAACAAGCCATGGCTGACCTTGGGTCCTTAATACTTCTGCTTTCCCTCATAGATTTGGCCCCAGGTGGTTCGGATGACTGGGCTTACGACCAAGGTATTAAGTATTCTTTTACTTTTGAGCTTCGGGACAAAGGAAGATATGGATTCTTACTTCCTCAGCATCTCATTAAGCCAACCTGCTACGAAGCAATCACCGGAATCAAAATCATAGCTTCACATGTGATTAACAATATGTAAACCATGCCATCCCATTTTGGCATTATGCAGCACAGCATTACACACAGACCGCTTCATTCATGCTGTTTTGCTATTTTAATTTCAAATGGGACTTACTTTCCATCTTATTTTTCTGTGATAAACAGTATGGATAATGAGGCTGCTCAAACCTGATTCTGAAGAATGGCTTTATGAACACAGCATTGCTCAGCTGCTGTTTAAAAGCATTTGCAACTTTTTTCCCCCCATACAAACCTGAAGAAGGGTGCTACTGCTTTAAAAGTCAATTGGAACTCTTAAAGTAGCTGCATGGGGGCCGGGGGGGGGGGGGTTTGCTAAGCTGGAAGCCTAAAAAAAACGTGGCTGCTTTAATGAGTAGCAAAGTAGTGCTATCCTTATGCAAGGTTCAAAACCTTTCTTTAGATCAGGGGTGTCCAACCTTGGCAACTTTAAGACTTGTGGACTTCAACTCCCAGAGTTCCTCAGCCAGCAAAGCTGGCTGAGGAACTCTGGGAGTTGAAGTCCACAAGTCTTAAAGTTG